TGGTGGGACCACTGTCAGTGTTCTTCTCAACACAGGCAATGGCACATTTCTTACTCAAGTTACTTACAAAACCGGTAATGCACCATTTGGAGTAGCATTAGGCGATGTAAATGGCGACAGTAAACCCGATATTATCGTTACAAATGCAGCATCGAGCACTGTTGGAGTTCTCTTACATTGTTAAAATTTATTAAAGAACTAAACTTTATTTAATCATTGACATTTCCTTATCAGATTAAGGACGTCATTTGTATAACTCGATGCATACTAAGGACGACCAATTCTATTCAGTCAATATCACAGATTTCATTTAAACTTTGCCTGTATGTTGTGCCAATAGGTTATATCCTTTTACAGTCATATATCCACATTGCCTCAATATATATCCCCTTCGTATTCACGTATCTTAGTTACCGTATCATACCATTTTCATATTCACATATCTACGTTACCTCATTTTTCGATAAGCTTTGACTCTTAATGTAGACATAATTGAAGTAGACCTCGGCTCTCTATGAGAGAGTGAAGTTATAAATATGTCTATTCTTGTGTCTATGGTTAGCAGACGACAACCTTTTATCTTATATAAGAAAATGAGGGAGGAGAAAAAGAGAGAGAGAACGTGAATATAAAAGAAGGAGTAGAAGAGTAAGACGGGAAGTATAATTTTAGTTAGTGAGTTGGAGGATTCTATATAGAAGACTGTTAAGAGTATTATCTTCTTTTTACAGCATTCGTGTGCATTTACACTTATTTATTTTATTATATATTATTCTTTCGTGTCTATTTATTCTTATTCATTTTATTATATATTATTATTTTTGGTGGTATTAACTTATTATTGATTATCTGTGGTTATCATTTAATTTAAATAAATATTATTATAGTACTAAAGTTATACAAGAAAGTTTAATATAACTCAAATATTTCGTTACATATGTAATATTGGTTTTAAATAAAAAGAAAGGTGATTGTTTCTTGAATAACTTTTGACATGTGATAACTATCAACTTGTAGTTTTCACCATTAGAAAGAAGTTATGATGTGGATGAGTATGTGGATGAACGTAAGGGCGTGTATGTACATATAGATGGATGTGGATGTGAGTCGGGACGTTGTATATTTCACACCCACACCCTCAACCATCTTGAGGGTGTGGGTGTGGGTGTGGGTGTGTCTAGCTATTATGACTAGTTTCACCTCAGCTACGAGAATCTACGGATGGCTTTAATCTAAATCATTAGAAATCACAAAGATTAGAAGCTAAAAACTGCTATATAAAATCTTTTGGAAATTATATAGTGTTATGCTTACAATTCACAGTAGTGTGTCTATGGAAGAGATAAGAAACTCAAAGCATCACACGACGTTTCGTTCTTGCTTAAGGGACTCATCAGGCATGGGTGTGGGTGTGTTTCAATAAGAAAGAGACCACGACGCGTTTCGACCTAATTTCATGATCGTGGTGGAGGGCAGTATAATTGTCGTACTGAAAGTCAATCGATAAATTATATAAAACCAATGTGTCAGTTGTTATTATGGCGCATTGCCATCATATATTTTGTATAATGGTAATAACTATTGTGATGAGATGATAGTGTAAGTAGGCGGTCGACGTTGATCGCAGATGAAAGAAAAGTGTAAGTGAGTTTTATTCTTAGCTTGTTTTTTTATAACTATATTGAAAGAAACTTTTCGTGAGGGGTCGGTGTGGGTCAGGGTTGCCACATTTCCTGATTTTTAAACATTTCTCCTGATGATATTTCTCCTGAAATCAGGAACTGATTTTAAAGATTTTCTCCTGATTTTTAATTCTTTTCTTACTTAAGTTTTGACGACGTTTTATATACAAAAAAATGAGAAAAAAGAGAGTAGACAACTATATGTATATGATAGCAAATCGGGTAGCGCCAAATCAGTCTCATATGTCTCTAATTCTTTTGACAAAAACTTTATAGAAATATGAATCCAGATATGAGATACACCTAAGAACAAAAACATCTGTCCATCATTTTTATTTCTGTGCTACCATACTTTGTATAAAATTTATTGTCTAGTAGAGATATGACTTGAGCGTTTTATTTCAGAATGGTAAAACGATCACAATGTAATAAAACTCTAAAGTTATATTTCACTCGACAATAAATTTTATACAAGATATAATAAAAAAGAAATCAACAGAGAAAAGAGTTTTGTGCAAGGGTATACTTTTGGAGAGCGTATATGACCCATGCATCAAAAACCATATTTTTAACTGAGTATTACAATAAAAAAATAGACAACGTGTGTTTTGTGGCTTATTTTACCAACTCTACCAGTAATATGTACGCTATATTAGGTTTTTTTATCACCAGAAACATGATCGACAAAGAAGAGGCTATTGAGAAATCTCAATGAGCCATGTTCACAATTCGCTTATAAGCCACCCGACAGCAAAAATGTACCCTAAGAGAGAGAGACAGATAGAGATAATATATTGCTATACGCGGCTTATCTCTTTTCATCTCCTTCTTCTCTCTATTTCTCTTTCTGACTCTACTAAAGAAGTTGATTGTTAACGACAAGCAACTTTGCTTCATCTCTTTTATCTTCTTACCTCTTTGATGTTTTTCTTCTTCTTTTTCATGGATATGCATAATCTATTTTCTTGAATCGATATGAAATGTATCCTTATACTGATATGTTAAACAAGTCAAGAAAAATTCAGTGTTCTATAATAACTATTACTTGTAATCAGTATTATTTTCAAAGAAACTTTAATTTACAAAAAAAACTGCATTAGTATACAAAAGCATTTGAAACAACAAGAAGAATCATTTTATCTTTAGTATTTGTGGTAAGAGAAACATAAAGTAAAATGTAGTGAGTTGATGCTTGATCTTGGATCATACGTCGTCATTTTTGACTAAGCGCTGTATGTGAACGTCTTGTCCTTTTAAAATACATATATCTATCCATGAATAATCGACAATGCCCAAAAGAGCGATCAACTGTGTTATGGTTTACTGTGACATCTACGTCCTAGTTATTTCTTTCTTGTCTTCTTTGTTACTGTTACATATATATTTGATAGAATAAAAGAAAATAGTTAGTTATGTTCTAACGGACTAAACACTCACGTCTCCTTTTATCTATCTAAACGTCGAACATAACAGTGGTGACAGCGGTTAAAGAAAAAGAAGAAGAAGTAAACATTTATTTGTTTTTTGTTTTTCTTCTTTTATCTAGTGACCATTAAAGTTTATAAACAAAGGAATCGTTCTTAATTAAGAGCTGATTCTGTCTTACACCTTCAACAACGGAATTTAAATTAGAATTATGACCAACGATGATTTAATTTCAAATTCGAATGATGATACAAAAACAATAGAAAAGCCGACACAATCAATTCTTGCATCACAACAACAACATATGAATACATCGAATGAATCAATACGTCGACATGTTCGAATTATTACAGAAGGAGAAAATATGAATATGGGTAAATGGTTATCTATATTAAACAAACTTTACGATGATCGAACGTATTCACCATCACAACGTGTAATTTATACAGTTTCATTATTAAATGAAGAACAAAAATTATGGTACGAACAAAACAAAGACGAAATTAAAGATGATTGGACACTCTTTTGTGAACGATTAGAACATAATTATAAACCAGCAGGAACAAATCTCTTATTTAATGATAGTTCAGTATTGAACAATACTGCAGTAGTTATACTAGAAGACCTTATTGATTCAAAATTTAATAAATATTCAGGTGTTGGTGATGCAAAAGATTGGTTGTTGCAAACAATGAATCAATTTAAAGCATGTGGATTACGACGTGACGATCAATTTGAAGCTATACCTTTATTATTAGAAGGAGATGCTTATTTATGGTGTGCTGAAAATAGTGATGCAATACTTAATTTTGAAATATTTACCAAGTTATTTTTACAACAATATAAATCAACAGCATCATCACCAACAAGTTCTACAGTGGGTACGAGAGCATTGGTTACCTCAGTACCTGATCATACGTCTACATCACATTTACAACGAACTGTAGCAGATGAAATTATCAAACGACCAACATATTTTCGTGGCTCCCAAGATGATGTACATGAATGGTTGGACAAATTAGAACAACGATTTTCAATGGCACAATGGAGTGATGCAAATAAATTACATTATATATCCATACATTTATTAGAAGATGCTTATCGATGGTGGATGCAAACATCTTCAACAATTAATACTTGGTCTTCATTTACAAATGCAGTTACAAGAGCTTTTGGTTCAACACGTGCACAAGAACTAGCATTTGAACAATTAAAATGGTACAAACAAACAATTAATCAATCCATTGCACAATATTATGATAAAATTATTGAATTATGTAAGAAAGTTGATCCTGCAATGCCTGATTCTTTGAAACTCAAATATTTGACGGCTGGAATTAAAGAATCATTAAAAACACACGTTGCATTACAAGATCCCAAAACAACAGAAGCATTTTTATCATCAGCAAGAAAAATTGAAGATATTTTTGCACTTAATGATACAAACAATGAATTAATTCCACTTGCTACATTAAATGCAACTACTTATCAAGGTCAACCAAATCAAACAAATCCTACACGAACATCAAACAATAATTTTAATCAAAGCAATCCTCGATATACAAACACAACAGATACTCGTTCAACTTATTATCAAAATACGTCAGCTGGAAATAATGCACATCAACAAAATAAATCTTCAAAGTTTACAAGACCGACACGACGATCGAATGCTTGTTATACTTGTGGTACTCCTGGCCATTATGCCCGGGATTGTACCCGTTCACATTTTCAATAATGGAAGCATCGATCGATGGTGTTGCTTCCAAAATATTACATGGCAATCCATCGACGTTAAACACATCATTGCTTTATCTTAATGTTCTTATAAATAATCAATGTATGAAAGCAATGATTGATACAGGTGCCAACCGAACTTTTATTTCATTACAAGCTTTATCTTCTTCATATAGCAAACAATTTATTAATGCAAAACAAAAAACTGCATCTTTGGCTGATGGACACACATCAATTTCTATTTTAGGTACTTTAGATTTACATATTGTTATAGGTGATATGTCTACTTCGATTAAAGGATATGTGGTGAAAGACTTATGTGCTGAATGTATATTAGGAATGGATTTTATTAGTAAATATAAATTTATAATCAATGCTGATGAACGCGTAATATCAATATGTGATCATGAAAAACGTATAACATTAGAATATGATGTTAATCAAGATGAAATTTGTTATCCAGCACGAACCATTCGTTATACTTACATTCCACCACAAGGGACAGTTTCAATCCCAGTCAACATCGGAATATCATCAGCAAAGGTTTCATTTCGTCCATCTTATCAATTAGCACAACAGTCATCGATGATTTTATTAAACAATACATTAACTGTTAATCAACAGAAATCCCATATTTCAATCTACAATCCAACATCATATTTTTATACATTACCAAAAGGTGTGATACTAGGTACAACAACTGTTCCTACATTATCTTTTAGCAAGTGTACATCTATTAATCGTGAATTAGTTGATGATTATATTAACAAATTAACCCGACATATTGCAGATTTAAAACAAGGAGAAGAAATCAAGGCTATTTTACATCAACATGAAAAATTGTTTGATACAAGTAAACCAGCAGTAGCTATTAATGTGAAACCACATGAAATTAAAACACTAGACCATCCTCCGCCATCATCTAGACCATATCGTTCAACGCCTGACAAAGAAGAAGAAATGTACAAGATTGTTCAAGATTTATTGCATAATGGTTTAATTCGAAAATCTTATTCTCCATATGCAGCACCAGCATTATTAGTTGCAAAACATGATGGATCATGGCGAATGGTAGTAGATTTTAAGAAATTGAACAATTTAACAATTAAAGATAATCATCCTTTACCTAATATGGAACAAACAATAAGAAGATTAGATGGTGGTTACAAATTCTTTTCAAAATTAGATATGAAAAGTGGATTTTGGCAAATACCAATTAAAGAAGGAGATAGACATAAGACAGCATTTGTTACTGTTGATGGTCTATATGAATGGAATGTATTAGCTCAAGGATTGAAGAATAGTCCACCATCATTTCAACGAGTAATGGCCGATATATTAGCTCCTTGTCGACAATTTTCATTAGTTTATATTGATGATATTGTGGTGTTCTCCCGTTCATTTGAAGAACACTTGGATCATATACGACAATTATTATCTATTTTATCCAAATATAATTTTCAACTTAATCCACCAAAATGTAAATTATTCCATCAAAAAATTGATTATCTATCACATATTATATCAGAAGAAGGTTTTCAACCAAATAATGATAGAATACAATCAATTATGAATTTAAGGGAACCTTCTACATTAGTGGAAGCAAATAAGTTCCTGGGCGGTTTATCATGGTACAGAAAATTTGTTCCTCGATTTGCATCAATAGCTGCACCAATACACAAGGTGACAAATTTAACTAAACAGAATCGAAAAAATTTTAAATGGGAACAACCACAACATGAAGCATTTTTACAATTAAAACAATTTTTAGTAACAACTCCATTATTTCTTGATTATCCAAATGATAATTATCCAGTTATCTTGACAACAGATGCATCCAAAATAGGTATCGGTGGTACCTTACAACAAAATATTAATGGTGAAATTAAAAATCTTTATTATCATTCTCAAGTAACATCTTCCACTCAAAAAAGATATGATCCCATTGAATTAGAAGCATTAGCAATATGGATGTGCTTTCAACGTATGCGGCCTTATTTATTAAAAAGATCAGTTATCATCTATACTGATCATTGTCCATTATGTAATATGATGAATTCAACAGTAAAAAATCGAAGAGTTGATCGTATATCAATATTATTACAAGAATATGACATCGAAAAAATCATCCATATTAAAGGTCAACATAATTGTTTAGCTGATTATTTATCTCGTCATCCAATTCCAAGAGAAGAAGAAATATTCGATGAAGATTATGGTATTGCTAAGCAAGATAAAGGGGAACCGACTGTTATGGAATGTGTTCCTGATGAAACTCCTCCATTAGCGGGAGCTATAACAAGATCCAAAACAAAAAAATTACGATTAGAACAAGATAAAAATTCGACAACAATTACACCATCTCAAAAGAATGTAACACCATCATCAGCTGTAGATGAAGAAGAAGATGATCAAGGAAAAGATTCTGCATCTCAAGATATTCAGAAATATAGATTTGATATGGAACAATTAAAAGGTGAACAAGAAAAAGATCCAGTTATTCAACAGAAAATTATAGAAGTCAAGAAAAATCCAGTTAAATGTTCATATGAATTAAAAGATGGTTTACTATATAAATTATTAATGATGCGTGTTAATTGTAATACAAAGAAAAAAATTATATGTTTACCATCATCTATGATTAACAATCTTTTACAAGTTTATCATAGTGATCCACTGAGTGGTCATTTTGGTGTTCAACGAACATATTTGAAGATCAAGAATATATTTTGGTGGCCAGATATGAAGCAATCCATTACACGATATATACAATCGTGTTTACCTTGTCAACAATATAATATCACTCGTACGAAAAAACCTGGTAGATTACAACCAATTCCTCCACCTGAAGGACCATTTCAATTAATTGGTATGGATTATTGTGGTCCATTGAAGCAAACACCTAGCGGGAATCAATATGTATTATGCATTACAGATTATTTTACAAGATGGATAGTAGCTGTTGCTGTACCTGATTGCTCAGCACAAACAACTGCTGAAGCATTTTTCAAGGAATACATTTGCAAGTATGGGGTACCGGCAGTCGTACTATCTGATCAAGGTACACACTTCCACAATCAGTTAATGGAAGCAATGTCAAAATTAGTTGGATATGACCACACATATTCAACCACTTATCATCCACAATCAAATGGAATGATCGAAAGATTTAATGCTACATTCATTCCACAAATTGCCAAGCTTCAAGATAGAGAAAACAATAATTGGGATGAATTTTTAGCACCAGTAGTATTTGCATATAATACCGGATGCCATTCAACAACTCAATATTCTCCATTTCAATTATTATTTGGACGAGAACCAAGATTACCCACTGAAGCACCATTATCAACATTTACATTTCGGAAACCAAACGATTATTATGAACAATTGAAGAAAAGTATGAAGTTGATACACCGAAATGCACATGGAAATATTACAAATAAACAACATCAATATAAAACTCGTTATGATAAACAACGTGCTGATCCTCATTATTCAATAAATGATCGAGTTTTGATTAGAAAACATGGATTAAAAAACAAATTAGAACCAAAATATTCAATTACACCACAAATTATTATTCAAGTAAAACATCCAGTTTATGTTGTTAAAGATGAAACAACTCAATGTGAGACACAAGTACACATAAATGATATTAAACCCATTTATGTTTCAAAATCAAATTAAAGAACAGAAAAAATAAAATAAAATTTACAACACCAAATTTATCAATATTATCAAAAATATTTTTATAAACAATTTTATGGCTGACTTCATCGATGATTTTACCAAAATTATCATCAATATATTTATTAAAATATCTATTTATATCTGTGGTAAAATCCTGATCAATATCTTTATCAATATTTTTAGAAAAAATATTTTTATCGACAATTTTATAAATAAATTTACATTTAGAATTACATGAATTTGCTTCAAGTGATATACCTGATGTTATGTGTCAATCATCAACGTATGCAAATGATTGTACAAATGAAGAATTAATTGAAAATGAAAAATGTGGTGAAAAAGAATTTATTGGTAAATTAAAACAAAAATTAGATAAATTAGCACGTTATGCGGCTGCATATGGTTCATTAGAAGGTGAACCAACATCTGTAACAATAGAAAAACAGTGTGTATTAAATGATCAATTACGTACAAAACTTGATCTATAATTTAATGATGCTTCGGTTTCGAAATTATCAAAATAAAAGAAAATTTGATAAAAAATGCTTGGACAATTTTGTCCAATGATTCTTAAACAAGAACATGATGATATTATTTATCTTTTAAAATATTCTGAAGATACAAATATTGAATTATTTATCCATCAAGTTTTTCAAAATGCCCTCAAACAAAAATCACGTCATAAAGATAAAATAAGAGATACTATTAAATTTATTGGGACTTTATCAACAAGAAATATTGATTTAAGTTTTAGTTGTACTTATTGATGAATTAATTTCAAATATATTTAAACCAAATAACCCAATGTTATCAAAAAATGATCTTCCTAATTTATTTGCATTTTTTGTAACCTTTGATGCATTTCAACCATCATGTCAAATTATATTTCAACAAATTAAACTTAAATGCGTACACAAAGGAATGATCTTGAAAAATTTATTGAATTTCTTGAAGCTGATTTTGCAAATGTAGCAGCAGCTGTTTTTTCTCTTTCATTGAAAGATACAGAAAGCATTGAACGATATAAATTATCACTGGATAAATAAAATGCTACAACAAACACAATATGATCTTTTCAATGATTTGGTACATCGAAACGAATATGAAAAATTAGAATTAGTTTTAATATATGATTTTATGAATGAATTAACATTTATATTGAATATTTTTTTTTACTTCTATCACCATCAAATCAAATAAAATCATTTCATTTAAATAAATGTCCATGTTTACTAGATTTATCTTATTGACATATTGGTTTAATTTTATCTTCAAATACATTAATAAATGATCATTATTTAAAATCTTTATATGACAATATATGGTCAAAACATTTAAATTATCGTATAGATTCATTATGGCTTGAATCTTGTTCATTTTCAATTGATAAATTATTATTAAATATTGATAACGATAAAAATATGAAAACAAATTTATATAAAAATTTTTAATTCAAATCTAAAGAAAAATCAACAAGAACAAAAATTTTGTGTGGAACAAATGTTATGACAATACGTAATTTATCATCTGATCGTTTAAATGTACATTTTCTACTTGATACATTATAAACAATATTAAACAACATCAAATCTTCTTATTCAATCTTTATCAACATTTTTATAAATAATTTTATCGATAATTTGATCTATATTCTTATCATCATTATTCATTAATCTAAAAAAAATTTTTTTATAATTTGGTAGTGAATTACGTGAATGATGGTTATGCGTAATCACGTTAAACGTATGCGCAACGGGTGATGTGATGAAACATTTATCATTAATAGTTTGAATTGATTAATTTTTTAAGTTGTGCACGTTGAAGGATTAATATTATATCAAATTCAAATGGAGAATAATAATAATGAGATTTACAATTGTGATGAATAAAATGAAGATAATGAATTATAATTTTTTTTTGTTTGTTGATAGTAGTGATGGGAACTTTCTACGAAGAAACGTTTCTGATTAAAACCAATGAGAATAAGTGATTAATTTATCTATATACTAACGACACCTATGAATTATTGATTTATCATAATATATTATATGTACAAGTGAACGAATTATGTTCGAGTAATCTTATTGGTCATCTAAATTATGATCCATACATATTTTATTTATGTTTGTTATTTATTTTCATCTTTATTTAACTACCAACTTCATAGTTTAACTAAGACGGTTCAATTGTTGGATTAGTCACGTTAATTTATGTATGTTCAGTGATGATTCATATAGCTGATCAACTATCAAAATCATCATCTGGAATCAGCTGATTACATGACAATATAAATTTTACTTTAAAAAAAAAAAAGAAATGAAACAATTATTACTATGCTATTGTGATTATATATCTATTTGTATATTTGTTTATTTAGAATTATTTTGGATTTCAAGAAAATTTTTTTCTTTGGGAATTACAATTTGTCGAACTAGTCATTTTCATTCAAATTATCGCTGTTGATCAAACTCTTTCACAACAATCAATCTATTCATTTATTCACATGGTCTTTTCTTTCATCTGATGATAAAACCATTTTGATAATGTTATGAATTATTTTCAAAAGTCATGTTTATAATTTGAAGCATATCATATACGTAATTATATTCAAATGGTTTACATATTGTGAATTAAAATATATTAAATTATAATACAGTACATTTATTACATTAAATAGTCAATTATTATATTCATCTATTCGCTGTTGAACGTGCTCGTGTTTATTTTTCGGTTAATTGCTGTTGAACGTGCCCGTGTTTATTTAAGGATCGATTATTCTGGTCAAATTTTCTCATCTATTATATATTCGTTTATTCGTTCATCCATCTTTTCTTATCATCTTTAAGAATCATGAACAAAATTAGTGAGAATAATAGATTACGTGAAAAGTATCCTACATTCGAAGTACCATCATCATTATATAATGTGATACATGTCAACAGATGTAGTTCAATGAGAGAATTACAGTTATTAATCAAACACGTGCAAGAGTGTACCAATTTTACTATTGATACTGAAAATGAAAAATCGAATGGTAAATTGGCATTGATTCAGATTCAATCAATCCCGCAACAATTACCTATATCAATAATATTGGTTGAATTAGCACATTTGCCGAGTGATAATGATAAGTATAATTTAATTCGAGAACTTTTTATGTTAATCTTTAGACCTGATAATAAATTGTATTCATGGGGTGATGCAGCTCGTGAATTACAACCTGCTGCAAGTTATGATTTATTTATGTGGCCAATATTAGCAACAATAATTAATGTGCAATTACATTTTCCAAATTGGTACATGTGGGCTCGGACTCGTTGCGAGTCATGCAGCCTGTCAATTCATGATGAAGATAATGATACTGATAATGTTAATACGCAAGATATTTGTCATCAACCAAGTCCATACAAACCAGGAGAAGCATGGGCACTTCAGAAAGCAATGGTTTATGCTGCACAACTGTTTATCGACAAATCCTATACATGTAGTCATTGGGCTGCTGGTCTTACTTCGAAAAATTCTACATTATCAGAAACTCGAAGAAATACAATGATCCATTACGCTTTATATGATTGTTTTTCAACAACTTATTTAGTTAAACCAATTTTTCAACAATGGACATTCGACAAATTGAAAAATACATCAACCACCGAATTATTTACATCATTTGAACCATTACCAGTTCCAACAAAGATTACACCACCAACACAGAAAAATAGAATTAAAAATTTAAATGTACAAAAACTGATGAAGATCTTTGGCTGTGATGAATCTGATCTTGAATCAGTATCTGATGATGATGGTGATGAAATTTACCTCAATCAAGTGATCGGCCCGGTGAATAATAATGAACTTGCTGGTGAAGTTAAACAACTTGTTGCCGGTGGTGAAGATTATGAACTTGTTGCCGGTGGTGAAGATTATGAACTTGCTGATGAAGTTAATACTGAAGAAGTTTTAGCTACACAAGATGTTCAAGATATTAATGATGATCAACAAATTGAATCTAATGAACCAGCTCAATATCAACGCAAATCCTCTTATCAAAGAAGAAGTCGATCAGCAAAAATGCGTCACAACAGAAAGCATGCTCGACAACAGAAGAAACACCGATTCGATCATCAAATACGACGAAAATTCTATCATCGATTCAAATCATTTATGATTCGAAGAATCTTGCGGCTGTACCAGATACCATTTGTCCACATGAAGAAGGATCAAGATGATGTGGTGGTGGGTTTACGAAATGAAGATATTCGACGACAAGCTGATCATGATCTGGCAACAACCATCTTTCATCGTCGAAGTTTTTATTATTATAAGAACAAGTACCAATGGTGATCTTCCAGCTGCCGGTGTTATGATTTTTTTTTCTCTTTTCTTCTCTCCCTTTCTCATTTATTTTTTTGTGAAATAGTAAAAGTTGAACCTTTTGTCCTCTTTCTTCATGTTCATATCCTAGCCGGTGTCTCATGTTTTTTTTATTGTTATATTTTCTTTTGTGGAAAAGTTTTTTGTTGTACAAAAATCTTTTTCCGGGCGGGTAGGATGTTATGGTTTACTGTGACATCTACGTCCTAGTTATTTCTTTCTTGTCTTCTTTGTTACTGTTACATATATATTTGATAGAATAAAAGAAAATAGTTAGTTATGTTCTAACGGACTAAACACTCACGTCTCCTTTTATCTATCTAAACGTCGAACATAACAAACTGATAATAGTATGGATGATCCGTACGTAGTTGAAGTTGATTATCTTTCCATTTCAGACAACAGTTTTCACGTGCGATAATAAGATCATTCCAAGTAACATTTTCATCAGCATAAATGCATTTACATCCAAGAATACCAAACGACATCGTATGATTAACAACTTCAACAACTAAAGCATCTGGACTGCAACATAAGTATGGAGCAGCTTGATCAATAACAAGTCCACTAGGATGAGTTGTAGAACAAATATTCTCTAAATAATCAAAGGACTTGAATATATAGTTAATATCAACAAGAACTCACTTTTTCTCTGCTCAAGCACATATCGACGACGACACATTTCTCCACTTAACACTCCATGACGAACAGCAGGATTCGAAGACAGATTTTTATTTTTATCTTGTAGAATAGAATGTATCAACTTTTGAAAATCATACTTCTCAACACAAATCGAGTAAACATTTGTACCTATAACGATAGTTTTACTAGATTAAATTCGCCCATAATCTATTCATATCACGAACAACGCAACTCAAATATCACTCTTTTTTGTTTTAACGATTAGAAAATCAACAAACTTTCTACAACAAAGTTTCTCCTAATATCTAAAAGTGATGTAAACTAAATCCTTCATTCACGTTTGATTCTAACCTCACTTTCTTAAAAAAATCAACTTACTTGAAATTCGAACTTCTCGCACTTTATACCATTGAGTGCATGCTGATTGACCACGAGTCGCAATCTCGATCATAGATATTTCGTTACAAGAAACATGAATTTTGTCATAATAATATTTGATCATTGACGGTTAAGTAGAAAAGTCAAATGCAACCGAACATTGTGAAACAACGCCGTCTGGAAGAGGTAAATGAGCATTCGATGATTGTTCTGAAAGAAAAAAAGAAGCAGCAATTGTTGATTTCTGATTATACTTACCAAGTAGTTGTTGAAGAGTTCTTTCAGCGCGAGGTACATAAGTATAATCCTTCAAAAATTTTAAATACTGAGGTGATTCTTGGTTTTTCACATTACACAGTGGGCAACTTTCGTATGCCAGGCGGACATGTAGGTTTTTTCCTTGAAAAT